CCCCAAAACCCCAAAACCCCAAAACCCCAAAACCCCGCGAAACTAAAATAAACCTATAATCTGACAAATAAATTAAAATTTCTATTAAAATAAAAAATTTAATTATATTTCTGGGAATTAGATAATTTTATTTGAAGGTTAATAGTTTATTCTCCTTATAATCATCTCATAATTCATTCAATTTTCTTAACGATTTCAAATCCTCTCTCTTTCTCGTTGAATTTATGGATATAGTCTTGACCTGACACAATTATCTCTCTCTTGTCTAGATCCATTCTCAAAGCACCAGTGAATAAGAAAAGATCTGGTTAAGCCAAGTGGCATTCATCCTCTTCTTGAATACTGAAGGTGCTTGGAGTCTCACTTTTCAAAATGAAGCATGAATTCAAGTTCTGTTAGTCCCATCCTCCGAAGATAACTATCTCACTGTCTATAATCTGGAATCCTCCTGCTGATGACACAGGTATTGGGAGCTGAACATTGATTATCTCCCATCTAGGTTCCATCCCATCCAAATGGATTCTCTCGATTTTGGTACTCAATTGAAGGTGTTGGTCGAATCCACCGAAGGAGAATAGCTAGGTGTCGTTGAAAATACAAAGAGAGTGAGAGAATTTGGCTTCATTAAGACTGGGCAACTGCATCCAAGTATTGGAAGCTACTTCATAGTACTCACCTTGATTGGTTGGTTATTAAAGACCAACAGTACCTCCAATGGCAAAGATTTTTTCTCCATAGTTGTCGACAGCACAACCGAAGGCGATTCTGGCAAGATTCATGGATGATTTCTCAACCAACCAAGGTTCCTACTGATGATTTTGAGATGACCTTCTTCGGGTGCTTCTACCAGTCTTTCCGAAAACAAGTTCAAAGGTATTTTTAATTAACTAGTTTTAGCCTTAATCCAAGGATCCACCAATCAAGAAAACTTTACCTTTCTAGGTAAAAGCTACCCTTGGTGAAAAGCTATGGGTCACTGTGAAGAGCTTATCGGTGAGATTAGTGCTTAGGGAAGTTCTTAAAATATCATTGCCTCTTAGAGTATAGAATGTATTGATAGATTGAAGATTCTCGTTATCACTGTTCTAACTGCTTCCTTGAGATTTGTTTTCCTCAACTCTTCCATTCATCTTTCTATCTTGAGGAGTCTTGAATGGTGAAATAAAATCATCATTCTTTCTTCCATTAAGAGACAGTAAGCTAAGCTCTTAGGCTGGAGGTGGGGCCTTCCTCTCGATGTTTTCATTATTAATCATAACCTAATGCTCAACCAAGTCGTAAAGTCTATCATAGATCTAGAGTCTATCAATCTTTACTGCAATAAGATCAGTAAGAAGCTGGCCAGATGTCTCAATCTTTGAGCTTAATTATATATTAAATCCTTCCATCTCTTTAATAAGATCCTTATAGTACTATTTGCGAGAAACAATATATCCAAACCTTGCTCTGTCTACCTTGTCATTCAAGACATTCCTCTCGACTTCCAATCTGTGCAAGAGCTCTTCGTCAAACTAAGCATTCAAGGTTTCAATCATGTAGGCAAGTTCCTTGAGTTTGGTTGATGACTTTACTTGATTGAGGACATCTCTTTCGATTTCCTTCATCTAAAGATAAATAGCCGAGAAGAAATCTTGTATCTGAGACTGAATCCTCTATGATATCAATGATGGTGTCAGATCTTCCACTGAAGTTATGTTCTAGAGTAGTTTCTCATACATCTCATCAAACCTTTTCTTGGTTTGTCTCGCGAAGGTTGCCATGAACAATGGCTTTTAGATTTTTTTCTCAAAAACGCATTTGTTGCAAGCAAAGGTTCCGGTCTCATCATCAACTGCAATGTTTTACTCCTTTAAGTGGTACTAACATTTCTCCTCTGTTTCGAGCAGTTCAAGTGCTGATCTTTGGTTTTGGTTCTAGGTGTTTAAAACTGAGTTAAGAGCGTCCATGAGTCTTGGTGATTGATTCAAGCCTTGGTTCTTTATATATCCATTAGATGTACCTAATGCTGCAGAATAATCGAAAGATCTAATCTGGGTGGAAATTTGTTATGAAGGATTGCCTTGGAACATTCTTAGGAGGGAAGGGCTGGTGTCAAAAGTTCTCTAGCCATTCTTGAAGCCTGAAGCAGACGACTATTAGGTAGTATCGAACTGCTATCTTAAATACTCTGGGTTATTATTCATTAAGCTCACTGAATTAAAATAATTTAATTTGATCAGACTCCTCTATTTATATTTCTAATTTAGTAATGAAAATCTGGCAATCAAAAAACTCATCTCCGATCGGAAATATCAGACTCATTTTCAACCAAGCTTTTCGTTCTTTCACATCAAACAATGGAAAGTAGAAAAATGGATAAAGAGAAGATTCAGAAATTAATTTTATTAAGACTAGATCAAATGCAGGTGCTAGATCTTTAGGCCATAAGCGAGATCTTGAAAATCAATATAGTGCTGATAATCATTCGCTTTTGCCTTATTTATACCTTTACAAATCATAATCGTAGGAAATTAATCCAAAGCAAATAGGCTATATACTAATGGAGCCTAGAACAAGACACTTGCTGGCTATAGACTTATTCGGCGGCTTTGATTATAGCTTCTAAATAATAAATGAAATTGAGAAATAGAATAAAGGAGAATTGAGATATGTATTCTCAACTAAAGACTCATAACTGAATGACCAAACTATTGAAACTTAGATTAAATGGAAAAAGTAAAGACCTAATCTGTAATTTATCTCATCTGGAATATAGAGCGTAAATAAAAATGCTTCAAACAAAAATCAACTAAAGGACCTTCAAACCCTAGAACTTGGAGATATATGCATATGTTGTTTAGAAAGCCCTGGTCATACACTAGACAGTGTAAGTTTAGTAATTACACATGTGACTCCAGAAAGTACTAAGATACCTTTCTTGTTTACAGGGAATAGTCTTGAAATAGGAGGCTGCGGAAAAATAATAGAAGGCACTGCTGATTAGATGTTTTATAGTTTACAGAAGCTCATAAATTTACCTAATGAAACTTTAGTTTTCAATGCTAACGAGAATTCTATTGAAAATCTAAGATTTGCTAAGCTTATTGAGCCAGAAAATCCAATGATTGACTTTAAGCTCAAACAATGTTAGAAAGCAATAGATAGTGGAGACTTTACAGTTCCTTCAAAGTTAATGGATGAGAGACTCTATAACCCATTTATCAAATGCGCTAGAGATGATTACTTTTCAAATATTACAGGTGAAAGTGACCCAGTGAGAATATTTGCTAAATTAAGAAAATTAAGGGATAATTTTTAATGATTCTGTTTAAAACTGATGTAATTAGAGTTTAAATGTTGTATTATTTAAATAAAAATTACTCAAGATAAGTTAATTCATATACATTGATATTTTCCAAAATTCCTTAGGGAGAATGATTCTTGCTCTCTATTATACAAAATAGGAAGATTTATTATTTTGACTCTCAATCAATTAGTCTTTGTTCTTGATCTTAAAAACTAAGCTAACGCTTGATTTCTTTAATTCACTCTATCTACTAATTACACTCCATTAATATTTTTACTTGATGACTTTTAAGTACGCTTTAATTAAACATTAACGAATTTCTCATTATTTGATTGAGATCTTTTATTTATGTAATCTCTTTGAATATCATTTTGCCGATTATGCTAATGAGTGGTACTTCTAGACTTGTCCATTTTTTTAACTGTCTCAAGATCCCTATTCAATGCTTCATAATAGTTGTTATGCATTATGATTTAATTGCTCTCTCGTAAAGTTTTCATTTGATAAAACTTCTTTGATAATTTGTTCTTTATTTATAGAGGTCTAATAATCGAGTTGTCTTAGTTATTTTTAATCTCTAAGTATTACTTACTGTGATCTTTAATATACACATTGTCTTCTGCAAGGTCATTATTAATCTTAATGGGAATTGTTCTGATTGGGCTTTTTCTATTTTTCAATAATCTATCTTCTGCAGCCAATGAAACACAATTAGCCTTAACTCCAAATAATTCAATGTCTTAGAACTTATTTCTAGAATTTTGTTCATAGAAGTTACTAAATCTTTCTCGAGACTTTTCCAATTGATTTTATTGCACTTGAAATTGATTGTTTTTAATTTTTTAATAGAGCAGATTATTTTAAAATACAAGTGGAAGCTTCTCTGTATTGTTTTACTTCATAGAGGAGAAGGTTCTGTTTGCATTAAGAGAGGGCATAGAAGATAGCTGCTATTAATCCAAGCTCAAATTAGAATGTTAATTTTGGATATTTTTGATTTCTGGGATCGTTACAATATTTTATCTCTATTAATAGTCATTATCCTTAATATAAGAATTATTCAGAATCTTTGCTCACTTTTAAGATGCTAGTCTACTCTCAATGTAACTTAAAGCGTTAGTATCGCTACTCTTGTGGTTAAGGAGATTTGATTTATTCCTTGATCTCGCATCCTCAGAGTGATCTTTTTCTTCTAATTCAAAGTAAATTCTTCGCTGTCTTTCCAATAATATTTTCATATTTTTCACGTATTAGATGTGATTTGCAGCTCTTTTAGAACTTATAAATGCTGATGCCTCATTATTATAGTATTCAAGCTTTTTTAGTAATTATTTATTTGGATCACTCTCAAATGAAAAGTCTTTTACTGGAACTACTTCGTATATATTTTAATTCTAAGTTTTAACTTTTTATAAACGTTCATTCTTTCGAAAAAGGGGTTTATCGCTAATTTTTGTTTGAGAAGCATTTTAAAAATCCTCAATTTCCAAACGATCATCCTCTAATGATCCTTATGATCCATCTTAGCTATCTAAATTCAATCAATTTAATTTGGACTTTGCAAAAATGACTTTCATATTGTGTAGCTGCTATTCTATTTCATTAGCAGAAAACTATTAGTTTTCATCATCGAATGTTGGGAGCTACATAACTTTTATTAATATTTTATTAATTTAATAATAAAAATTTAAAATGAAAGTAAGCAAGCAAATTTTTGAATTGTCTGAGAAAATTTTAGACACTTTTGATCCTATCAGACTTAAAGCCAAAGAGATAAAAGTTATTGAAGATTAATAAAAGCACATTTAAGAAAGGTTAGATAAGGATTTACAAGATAAGCAGAACTAAAAGTAATAAAGAGCTGCATAGAATGAATAAAAAGAAAAATCAGAAAAATAATGTTAGCAAGATGATCAATAGAATCAAACTGAAATCAATATATAAAAGAATGAAGTAACAAAAGATGTGTTTAACTACACAAAATGGGATTTGCTAGATCAATAGTTAAATTTAGAGGAGAAACGCCAAGAAACCGAGGACAAAGATTTCTCAAAAGAGACAATGCTTAAAGAAATGATGGGATGTTCTAGAGATCATTCAAAAGAAATAGACATTTACTATAAGAGCTATGGCGAAAAAATTGAACGTATAAAAGCCATGAAAGATGAAGGCAATAAAAGTTACAAAGAGAATGAACTAGAAAAAGCTAGTTATTATTACGCTCAAGCACTCTTGATATTCTATTATCTTGTGCCTGATAACGATTAAGAAGAACAAGAGAGCAATGAACTTAAAAGATTATGTCATATGAATTAAAGCTTAGCTTTCTTAAAGCTAAAACGATTCAAAGAAGCTTTAAGTGAAATAAGCCAAGCATTAAAAATTAAAGCTGGTGATGTGAAAAGTTTATTGAGGAAAACTTAAATTCTGATAGAATCTACAGAATTCGAAGAAGCAAAGAATCTAGCAAAGAGTGTCTTAGAAATAGAATAAGATAACTAGTAGGCTTTGACTTATCTAAATGAAATCAAAATTAAAAAGGCCGAATACCTCGAGAAGAGCAAAGAACTTTGCTAGAAAATGGTATAAAAAGAAGCAAATATTGATGATCTTAAAAATGAAGTAATTTAGGATAAAGATGTATTAGAATAAGAATCAAATTAAGTTGAAAATTAAATAGAAGCTAGTTAAATAACCATAGCTAATGAATCTGATAATAATTGAGAGTTCTAAGATAATGACGAATAAACTGAGAGCAAAAGTCAGAATATTTTAGATAATAGCACTTAAGGCTGCTTCAATAATGAATAAATTTTAGAAAGAAAGTAATTTTAAAATAAAAATTAAGAATAAAACAATATGGCAGAAGATATAATCTAACTTAAGCAAAATATTTAAAAGCTATAAAATTCTGATAATAGTAGTAGTTAAGTGAAGTAATTTGAGAATAGAATAGTCAAGCTTGAAAAATAAATGGATGAAGTGACTTTAGCCATTGAATTAATTAAGTAGTATGGATTCAATCCAAAGGAATATAATGAAATGATTGAGATTTTGAGGAAGCAAAAGCAACCTACTCTATAATAAGAAGTAAAAAAATAAGATAAGAGGCAAAAGGAGATAATTTTAAAATAAACTGGAATAAATCCCTTGGAAAAGATGTAATTAGCTCTGTTATCAATATTTATATCAGCTGTAACTGCGTATACCATTTTCTTTGTACTCAAATAATGAATACAGATTAGGATTATCTTTTGTGTGTGAAAAATAGTTTAAAATTCAAATTAATTGTGGATTAATTAAAACTCTCACTTAATATACAAGTTCCAGACGGGGTTTTGGGGTTTTGGGG